TGCAATCACGGTTCCACTATAAAAAATAAGCAAATCAATTAATAATAAATAATTAAAATAAACAAGTCTTTAACATTTAAATATAACACACATAAAGGGGCAAAATATTATTTAATGCAAGCCAATACAAGTTAAATCCAACTCAACCTTAAATATACTCTGTCCAAATTAAAACCATTAACACAAGCAATACAAATTAAATCAACTGTGAAATTTGACTCAAGCTCCTATTACTTCCTTCGTTTACCTAATAATTTTTATATATGAAAAATTATTAGGTATAATCAAGTCAATTGAAATAGAGCAATAAGGTGAAGACATGCCAATATAAATAAAATTTAAAAATATATATACATATATATAGGTTCGGTTCTTGGGTTGGTTCGGTTTAGGCCTAACCAACCCAATCCTATCGGTTTGATAATTTGAAGACCCAAAATCAAACCAATGCACTCAAAAATCAACCTAACCCAACCCAACCCAAAGAGATCGGTTTGGTTTGGTTCGGTTCGGTTCTTTAGTTCACTTGGTAATTTGAACACCCCTACAAACAGCCCTTACCATTCTCTGAGGTAGGTTGGGTCGATTTGTTCTCCAAATAGTGAGCCATCTTAGCGTCACGATATCTATGCAAATTAACCATTGGCGTCATTAACCTAGCCTAAGTTAGGGTACATGAATCATGAAGTGTGGTATTGGTCCACAAATGTACTTGGTGCTTTAGTTGCATGCCACTAACTCTAAAATATGGTAATGGGTATCTCAATAATAGGATCTCCACCGATTGGTACCTCCAAGTGGTGAGCTATGTTACAAGACTTGGATACGAGTATCGGGTGCGGGTGTGTATTCAAGTATCAGACCTTCATAAATTTAAATCTTATGATCTTGGGATAGTTATTCGAAATTGAATATGGGTACAGTGATGCGTCATATACACATATATATTGCATATTATATAATATGCTCGGATGAAATGTTGTAAATTATATATAAATATATTTGAAATTGAATTGGATTCAGGAAAATATGAAATTTCTATATCTAATTCATGTGAGAGGCTAAAAATATTCCTTTACTAGCAAATGTGAGTTTTTTCTTCTCATATATTGCAACAAATTAAAGAGTGTTTAAATTAGGTACGAGTGTCACACATATCCCACACCCTTACCCTAAGAAGCACAGACACAAACACGTGACACGACACAGACACGTAAATTTTCAAAAAATGTAGGACACTACATGTTGGAGACACATTCAAAATATAAATTTTTATATTTTTGTCATATGTATATTTTTAAATATTTAATATGTATTTTATGTCAAATATTTAATTTTATCAAATTTATCAATCTTAGATATAATATTTTAGTAAAAAAATTAAAAAATTTAATTTTTTTTGGGAAAAAATAGTACTTAGTGTGTCTCTAATGTGTCTCTAGTGTGTCTTCAATGTGTCCCTTGCGTGTACTCAGTGTGTCCCAACGTGTCTGCAACGTGTCCAACTATTTCCAGCGTGTCCGACACGTGTTCGACACTTGTCTGTGTCCGGCGTGTGTTCGTGTTCAACACATGTCGGACACCTGTATGCAATCTCTGAAGAGGTGTTCGTGCTTCATAGCCCTTACCCATGTAGGGGAAATAGAAGAGTCCATATAACACAGGTGAGCCATAGTGGCACCATGACATTGATTAGTATTTCAAAGTGACAAGCCATAACACCTCCGTGACATCTCTACAAAGCACAAGTATGATATCCTCATCCGCTAACACATTCAATGCTTTAGTAGCATGTCATCTTCCAAAAATAATATATCTCAAAATGTGCTATGCTTATCTCCAAAGTTGACAGTGAAGGTACTTATGCTCCCCTCTATGGTCAGGTTGTAGCCTTGCTTTCGCTTTCCTTTAGGGCGAGCCTCATCCTTGCCCTCCTCTGGTCGAGCAATCACTAGTGAATGATAAAAATTGGATTCAAGTTGCCCTCTTACACGAAGTCACCATTTCTATGGCAGAGAGCACAATCAACCTTCTTTTGTATAAATACATAAATTCAACTACCTATGGTCAAGAATATGCACGAGCACTCTCAGTAGATCATAAGAGTGCTCGCATGTGAGGCTAAAATATCTTTTATTGTAGAGGGACAAACTAATGTTCTGATTACAAGGGCTTTAATTTCTACTTAGGACTAAGATGCTTTTGTTAGATAGCTTAATATACATTGTTGGGTCTATTTCCTTACAGAATAAGCTTTTGGGACTAGTGGTGACTTACCATTATATCAAAGCTCAAATTTGGGGTGGTCTTGGGTTCAAGTCTCTTTGTTTGCATTTGGTATACATTTGCATTCTTTGCTCCTCGTTGACATTCTTTCTTCTCTCTATGTATGGATGTTTGCATCTCTGCGTGCAAGATAGGGTTGCACATGGGGGATGGTGTGGGATAGCTTGATATACATCATTACGCTCATTTCTTAACATCTTAAGCTTTTGGGACTAGTGTTGTTCATCTATGTATGGATGTTTACTTCTCTGTGTGTAAGATATGGTTGCTTGTGAGGGATGGTGTGGGATGGCTTGATATACATTGTTAGACTCATTTGTTAACATCTTAAGCTTTTGGGACTAGTGTTGATTTAACAACTTTGTCGTTTCATTGGAAGAATCATGTCTATGATATTTCTTAACAAGGTTTTGGCTATCAAAAACAAAAAAATTGGGTTAGAGGCACCTTAGTCTACAAAGTGCCACTATTAGTATGAGTTGGGAACGTTGAGCAATCTTGATGATTAAAGAGATGCTCACACACTCTGTGTCCCGTACGTGTCCCCGGTGTGTCCCCGTGTCAGACACTGCCACGGCATGAAAACTGCCGTGTCCATGCTTCATAGCTACAAAGTGCCACTATTAGTATGAGTTGGGAACGTTGAGCAATCTTGATGATTAAAGAGATGCTCACACACTCTCATTGGTTCATGAGAGCACCCGCATAAGATTCTTGTGTAGGTTACATGTGTCTCTATTCAAAAAAACGGTTACATGTATCTAGATTTCTTATGTGGCGACCCTTTTTGGATCTACCTTTTTGAATTGTTCCCTTTGGACCTCCATTTTGAGATTCTTTTTTCCCTAGGATTGTTCTCCTTGGATCGCCTTACCCACGCTTAGTGAAGATCTCTCCCAGCCAACGGTCGTAATAAGTTTATCTCTAGTTGTCTACCTTGACTGCTCCACGATTGTTAACAAGTGGGATCAATCCTACCTTGCGATTATCATTTGCCTAACACTTGGTCATAGAAAAAGATGCTTTGGTTGGGAGTACAACCTAAGATCTTTGCTTGGGATCATTGGATTGGAGGGTTGTGGATTGTAGGCTAGAGTTAATGGATTGTTGAAGAGTGGTTGACCCTAACCCTCTTTAGGGGTGATACCCCTTGACAAACCTTAGAGAGAGGAGCGTTAAACAAACAAAGACATGATTACCTTTGAAGATGTCCTAATATTATGAGGTAAGAAGGCGTTGTTGGCTAAAGAAGGTTAAGGAACAAAAATCTCATGTTGGGGGATCCTTGGTTAGAATATACGGGAGATCACGGGTGGGGAGAGAGGTCATGATGAGGTCCCCCTAAGAGGGAGATATTAGGACAAATGAGTCCTAGTTGCCGACTAAAGAGGGTTCAGGGACAAAAATCTCACGTCGGGGGATCCTTTGTTGGGAGATATTGGAGACCCTAGGTTGGGAGAGATCTTAGGATGAGATCCCAAGACGGGATATTGGGACAAATGAGCCCTAGTTGTCTCACCAAGCAGATTATTGCACCAAGGGGATCATGCCACCTGTCCCCTTGAGTTTACCTCAATAGTCTAATCTCACAAAAGGAGACCTGCCTTGTGCATGGAAGACCAACACCAACAGCAACACTCATCTTTGGCACATGCTCAAAGCTCTCTCTCTACTGCTGTCTTCTCTCTTTGAGGACTACCCTTGACGCTCTCCTCCGCCTCCGGTGGTCCATTGCCAGTTGATCGCCTACTATCTATTCTGTTAGAATTTACCATCACCTACCATCACTACCACCTCACCTACTCCACTAAACCTAACCCACTACACCACTACCACCTCACCTACTCCACTACACCTAACCCACTACCACCATCCACTACACCTACATCTATATAAGGAATCATTTGTAATAGACAGAAGATTAATACATCAATCAATAATACATAAATTCTTACATATTCTAGATCACCTTGTCGCAGCCACCTTGGATACCATCATCATCCATAGGAATCTACATTAGCTACTTGTTTGAATTTTTTTTTGGTTCTCATGTAAATTGTTGGCACAATTCCTTGTTGAAATCTATCCACTCTTTTTATACTATATGGCATTATTGCCTTTCTATATTGCATTTCAAAAATAGTCAAAAGATACTTGTATGCTGTAATAACAAAAAAATAAAAATAAAAATCTGTATTAAAATGAGAATATGAATGAAGAATGTAGTTTTTGAACGACTTATGCATTAATTCTTTCTCTAGTCTTTGTTTCTTGCAAAATAAAATTTTAGCGTCTCAATTTCTGATAGTTTTGATGACTATACAGATGTGTAGCCTGACTCGTAACCAAACATTTGCAATGTTTTAAAGTTTACGGGTTCTAGGGTAAGGTTTAATCCAACAAAATTTTTGTATTCCACTTGTAGCTGTTGTATTGCAGTCTTTACTGTGTATATCTTTTCTTTTCTTTCTTGCAAAGTCTGCCACAGATAAAAATTATATGCGAAATCTGTCTAAATTTGACAATTTCTCCATTGCATGCACATTGGAGGGCCTCTGGTCATTATATCTTGGATGTGATGGTTTTACATTTATTGGCAAATAATTGAATTTATTTTGGTTTCTGCATTTGGAAATATGCAAATTTCTGTTTGAAAAAAATAGGTCACCATTTGGCACTACAATTTTTCCTAACTTCTTAACATGGATATGCAGGAGTATGTGATTGTCTTGCTAAAAAACGGCAGGTGCAAAGAAGAGGCAAGGAATGAGTTGAATGTCTTTTTGGGGGATGATAGTGATTCTTTTGTATCTTGGTAATTTAATTCTGTTTCTGTCATTGTGTTTGTGCTATTGAACATGATGGTAAACTCTTTAATTGATAGTGATTCTCACTGCTGATATTGCTATTTTTCTACAGGCTGTGGGATCATTTAGGATCAAATATTAATCTGTACGTACTACCTCAGGAGTCTCTTTCGGATGAAGCTGCCAAAGAAAAGCCCACAACTGGGGATCAGATGGCAAGAAATGATTTACACCACTTGGATTTCAAATCTGATAGAGGAAAGTCTAGTAAATTATCCAGAAGCCGGCACAATAGGGAGTGGAAAACTCTAGTAAGGGATGTAGATGAACCACCCCCTTTTCAAAGCTCTGCGATTGATAATGTTCACACAGATGAGAGAACTCGTGGTAAGGTTGGTCATGTCGAACGATCTCATTCTCCACAACCCGTAGCTCAAAAGAAGAGTGGTCGTGCTGAACAATCTCATTCTCCACAACCCATAGCTCAAAAGAAGAGAAGCCGGCCTGATGAACACCATCTAATGAAGGTTCAGAATTATTTTCTTTGGTTTTTCCCTTTTTCTTGAGAAGAAAGGGTGTTATATATATTGATGAATTTGGAAATGGTGATTTGTTTCTTGTGTCTTTTGACATAGGTTTAGAAGCTTTCATGGATGCAAAATGATATTTTCTGTTTTGGTTGTCTTGTATATTATATTTTGAAAATTTTATGTTTTGGGCAAGTGTTTGAAAAAAATGGCTGGCAGCGGAGGAGTTATTTGGGGAAAATAGATCTTGTTCCAAGGTTTGACTTGTATAGTATTTGATCCCCTCTATTTATCAAAAAAAAAAACAAAATGATCCCCTCTAGTCAAACTTGAAAAGCTTTTGTTTTAACTTTTAACTGAATGCCACTTCTCAAAGCATTGGTTTTTAAGCATGGTTGTGGATGTGTGGTGGTGTATTTCCAGTGTTGGTGGGCCTAACTATGTTCAAGTTTGGATTTAGACCTTTCCATTTCAAAGATTTTCACCACCTTAATTGTTAACATTTAATTTTGGCATGCTGATTTTGTGATGAATTTGCTTTCAAACATCTAGCCAATACTTATGGGAGCATAGGCTGCCTAGCACAGGCAAGTTGCATATTTCTGGTACAAAAGGCCTGCCGCTATTTCCTTTATACTGCAAAAACTAAGGTTTCACGTGTCGGCAAATTGAAGAGTTAAGTTTGTCTTACTTAAGTTGGATCACCATTATTTTCACCCAGCTTAAGAGTTAACAGTTATTTTTGGCATCCTGATTTTGCATTTGATGAATTTGCAATCAAATGTCTAGCCAGTATGTACTTATGTAATCATAGGCTGCCTAGCATATAGACAAGTTCCATATTATGTTACAAAAGATCTGCCACTATTCCCGTAATACTATAACTAAAGTTTCACATGTTTGTGAAAATTAAAGAGTTTTGTCTTCCTTGGATTGGATCACCATTATTTGTTTTTTTTAGATCTTTTGTCAAATAAGGCTTGCTATTAGCATCCTTGGTGGTGTGGTGGTGTGGGTTCGAGACATGGAAACAACCTCTCTAGCCAAGGGTAACTCTTTGCATCTGGCCCTGTGCAACCTGCTTTCGCGGGAGCCTCGTGCACTGGGTCACCCTTTTTTGTTTTTTGGGGTAGGGTAATGAATATTGGGATTTCAATGTACGGGCCACGTGGTGATTTTTTGTAGGGGTGAGCAGCGGATATACCGATTTGTCAAAACCGATCAAACCGAACTGATCCGCCACATTTTGGATGGATGCATGATGATGAGCGGACGGTTGCGGATTGATTTTCTCCAATCCGTCAGTCTGGCGGACGGATGGCGGATTTGAGATTCCTTTGGCCGCAACCGAACCGCAAAATCGCGAATACCCCTAGTAATTTATAAGACTTTGTGTTTTCATTTTGTTTAAATATTCTGTTTGTGTTTTCAATTAAAAAAGAGTTTAAATATTCTGTTGAAAAAAAGTCTTCAACTTGAATATCTTTTTTGAATTGAAAAAAATAAATGTATTATTTATCTATATTTTTTGGTTTTTAAATCTATCTCTAAAAATAATAAATAAATAGAAAATATGATATATGCTGGTTGGTTTTTGTTTTCAAAAACAGATATAGATATAACAATACAGAGACATACAATCTCTACTATTACTATGTTCATGGTTTTGGTGATTTGAATTGCTTTTATATTTTAAGAACCACAGATTGTAATACTTTATGTAGATGAGGCATGTTGTGATTGTGATATTCTAAAGTTTCAAACTTTTTTACTTTGGATGAAACATGCAGTGATTGTAATATTTTTTTAAGTCATTAACTGTAATATTTTCTTTTTCTTTTTTTTTTGTTGAGGAAGTGCACAAGTTGAATTATGTTGAAAATTTATAAAATTTTAAACCGCCAAACCGATTTGCATTCATCCACCAAACCGCCAATCCGCTCAATCCACATCCGCCGGATTGGCGGACGGATGCGGATTGATTTTCTCCAATCCGCCAATTTGGCGGACGGATGGCGGATTGGAGGTTTCGTGGCCGCAACCGACCCGCGCCCACTCCTAATTTTTTGTTGTTGTGATGCTACCGACTTTTTGTTAGCCTGTGAATATTGATGGACTAACTGAAATTCAGTGAGGCATCCAATCCAATTCTCCAAAATAGCACGGGGATTTTCCTATTCACCATTGTTGATCGGGTCTTGTCTTGTCTTGTTACAGAGAATATGTACTTCAGCCATTGTTTTCCTGATATGTTTGTTTACTTTTTGGCAGAGGGGAGTAGCTTCTCAATCAACCATTAATGCTCCTCGAAGGCTTCTGCAATTTGCAGTTCGGGATGCAGTGGCCACTTCAAGGCCATCCAATTCAGTGTCAGAGCCTTCACTAAAGCGTTTACGTTCTGTGGTTTCTACATCAGCTGTAAACTCATCAGTTGAAGCCCGTCCTCGTAGATTTCAGTCAATTGCAAGAGTGCCTAATGCCATGGTGACTGCTATTAAAGCTGTTGAAGAAGCTGCCAAGGATGTCGTGAAAAACAGATCATCGGGAAATGTTTTTGATAGGCTTGGTCGTGGTATGGATATATCACAGGCCAGTGACCAACTGACAGAATTTAGAGAAGTTGCAGTTGAAGATGTGGAATATGGAGATTTTAACCGAGTTTCAGAGGAGACACGCTTAAATTTTCTCCCGAAAAGTGAATACACTGGAGATTCTGTTGGGGATGTGACAATGTTGGAAACTGATACTGGAATGGCTTCTGACTCAGCATCTGATAATGAAAGATATGATGATGTCAATGTTATGGGTCGTAGGGTTATGGATGTTTCTCAGATTGGCACATCTGGTGGAAATGAGGATCAGGACTCACTGATGGTGCGGTATAGTGTGGCTAAAAATTCTGATGAAATTATGCGGAAACCACGGAAAGATCAGGATCAATCTGCTCTTGCCGCTAACACTTCTCGTAAGATAGTTAATATATCAGTAAATGTAAATACGTGGAAACCAACTCATTATCCGGAGCCAAGAGAGGTTTCAGAAATGGATAATCGGAAATCTGTTCAGGAGAGTGAGGCAGGACTGGGCAAATCTGGTTTGTGGCTGATGAACGAGAAAAGCAACCCTGTAACTGCTGGTAATGGAAATGTAAGATACATGTCTCTGTCATGCATAAAATTGTTAGTCTGCATATTTGAGCCAGCATATATCTAACCACTGTTTGCTTCATTCCCTAACTCATGATTCCATGTTTGTTTATTTTGGATAGACAAAACCTGCTGCAGATACTCAGAAGGAGCCTCAGAAGATGCTGCCTACCCCCTCTGGTGAGTTATGAACCCTTAATTGAAACTTTGTGCACTTTTTATGATTATTGAAGTGTAAAACTGAAAGCATCTTTAGTAGTTTATTTTCAAAATTAAAAAATTTGTGGGTTTGTGTTCTTTTTATTTATTTATTTATTTTTATTGGCACTGGGATGTTTGGATCAAAGCCTGACTATTCCCTAGGACCCTAGGGGTGCACATGCCCTCGGCAAGGAGTTTTCTTCAAGTGCTCCATTGTTAATTCAAGGGTTTTATTTTTTTATTTATTAATTGTTAGTTCTTTTATATCACAAACTACAGACTAATATGACTTATTTTATTGTTTTGGATAATTGATGTAGGACAAGTGGGGACTTATTTCCTCCAAGTAGTGAGTCCAGATTAAGTATACTGGCAGTAACAACAATAGACTTGTGGGGTTGGATTTTGTGGGATTTTGTGATTGCGAAAGTATTTAAAAAAAAAATTAGGAGTTTAAGGCTTTGTGAAAGGGTAAGGTTTTGGGAATGAAAACACAAGTGTTTAGGGGATGTTGGGTGGTTGTTCTAAGCATTGTGAACAGTGAAGTGAACAGTAACATTGCTAGAGAGAGAGAGAGAGAGCTGCTTCACCCTCACAAGGGATATGCCAATCACACAAACACAATCATTGAGATTACACATATGTATAGGCTGAAGACTCCTAATTGTATAAGGACTATGACTCAAAATTAGAAACTAAAAATATTTAGAAACTATGACTTCCAATTCTACTTCAATCATAATAGGAAATTTTAGTTACTTATAATTCTACTTCAATATCAAAATAGGAAACTTGAACTTTTGACCACTAAAATTATTTTATACATAATAAAACCCATATATAATGACTAATTTTATAACTTGACCCAAAATAAAATCCATGAGTAACTCCTACAACCCATGTCCAACAATTATTGGAATTACCATTATATCTTTAATTACTAAAACCTACTGTAATGACGTGAAGTCTCAAAATTATTCCAAATGTTTAATTCTTGTTACCTTAAATGTGCTTCATGTGAAATTTCAGATTTGTTTTTTTCTTCTTTCCATGATCATCAATAATAGTTCAGAGCTTGAACACAGTTTCTTCTATTTTCTAGATTTGCTTATTTTGTGCAACTCTTTTTGGTGGTTGTGTGCAGGTTTATATTCTACTGGTCGGCCTGCTGAAGATGCTGATTCTCGGACTATTTTTGTCAATAATGTAATGACTGTTACTCCTGATGCTAGACATAGACTTCCTGAATGGAGGTACCACTCTTTGTTCCTTACATTATTGTTGTTGTGTACAGGTTCATTTTGCTTCTACCAAGGATAGTCTTTCACGGCATTTTAACAAGTTTGGGGAAGTGCTCAAAGTAATAATTGTGACTGATGCAGCAACAGGGCAACCAAAAGGGTGAGTTGTTTCATTTGCAAGTTCTGAGTTATTATAAATATGTCTAATATCCACTTTGAGGCACCCCAGTTCCTTCTGATTTATTCTATGCTAAACTATGTTGCTAACCAGGTCAGCATATGTAGAGTTCATGAGGAAAGATGCTGCAGAGAATGCATTATCGCTGGATGGCACCTCGTTTATGTCGCGTATTCTCAAGGTATTTTTCCAAGGATGTAGGTGGTCAATTATGTAGTGAATGGGGGCGTCTCTACAGTTCTGTGCTTGCTTTATTAAGGTTGTGGTTTTGTTCAGAGGGAATTGATTTTCTTGTTTTAGTAAAAAGCTTTCAATTGCTTTGGCTAGATGGCCCAAACTGTCTGAGTTCTTGTGTGCTGTTATTAAGGCGGTGATATTATTTAGTCTGGTTTCCCTTGATTGCTTTAGCTAAAAGCTCATAGATGTTCTGGGTAGATGGCTGAAACTGTCTTTGAGCAGCCAATTGTTGGGTAGCATTTTGGCTAAAGGCTAATTGCATCGACATTGTTCTCCTTTGAATGTCTTCAGACCAAAGTTCTGAAAAGCGGCTGCGGTCACCGTAACGGTGGCGGTGGTGCGGTTGTGATTGCGGGGTGTAAAGGCCGTAGCGTAACGGTTGCGGTAACCGAAACCGTAAATTTTCGCACAATCTGAAAAAAATTTACCGATACACATATTTTTTTTCCATGATCATATTTATTGGGTTTAAAATAAATATTGATCAATTTTTGTAAATTTTTAAGTATGATCCAATATGTTTCATATTTTTAAATCACTATAAACTGAGTTTTTTACATTTTATTTTAATAATTAATGACTTTATATTATACAAAAAATTAATCACTAACTATTATATATAAGATAAATAGTGACAAAAGTAAGAGAATAAATAAGAGCCTAAATATATATATATATACATATTTTAACCAAGCCAAATAGATAATGGCCACACTTATTATTATTATTATTATTATTATTATCAAACAATATATAGATAGACACACACAAACGAAATGGTTGAGTGATAGCTGCTGAATAGAATAGCACATGTTTTACAGTTTCAACAAATCAATAACATGTTCTTCATCTTTCCTCTTCTCTCTCTCTATCTGTATCTCTTACTCCTCCATCTTCTCTCTTTATCTTCCCTCCTCTCTATCTCTCTTCCCCCATTTTTAATTTTTTTTTGTGTGTTTTTTCGAAAGAAGCAGTTCAGAACCATTACGTAACGGTGTGTAACAGGCCGTTACGGCACCGTTACAACCGCTACGGCCGACACACCTGTGAATCTCAATCATACTGCAAAAGCGGCCATAACGGGTGGCGGTAACTACTACAACCGTTACGTAACGGCGTTACGTAACGGTTGCGGCCGCTTTTTAAAACCTTGCTTCAGACAGTTTGATGCATGAAGTGATACAATTTAAGGCAGGATGACTATACTGCTTCTTGTTCACTGTATTAGGCAGTAAATAAGATGAGAAATGATGCTAAATATAAGGCAGCATGTGTTGTGGGACCCAGTTTGCTTGGATGAAGACATTTTCTAGCTCATTGGTGTTTTAGTTCTTTGATTACTTCTTTTAATTATGGTTTTGTTATTGAAATAAAAAATATATCCTGAATTTTTAATACATGAAATTGTTGTAGAATGCAGTTTTTTTTAGAAGGTATTGTAGAATGCAGTTGGAATTTGTGAAATTTAAATTGAAGACAAAAATTATGTGATCATGAGTTAGGATGTGCACTATATTATTCTATATTCTGTCCTAGGTCTCAGTGAACGAGTAGATGGAAAATTTGTGTTTGGCCCATTGAGCAAGAGTTTATTGAACCAATGTGTTCTCAAAATGTGTTTTTATTGCAGGTTGTGAGGAAAAGCTCTGCTCAAGAAGCTGCACCTATGATGACGTGGCCGCGTGTTGTGCGTGGATCGCCATTTGCTCCCCAAAGATTTGCAAGAGTTCCTTTTCCGAGAGGCATTTCTAGTGTATACAGAGGTCGGCCCCCAATCAAACCTGGTGCTAGGAGCATGCAGTGGAAGCGGGATGCTCAGCCCACTCCAAGCGAGAGTGGTCCCACAGTAGGCTCCGGTAACACTGTTCCCTCTCCTGCTGTCCGAAGTCTCACTTACATCCGAACAGAGCCTAAAACAAATGGGAGTTCTGGCACTGCCTAATTCATCAATATCTCTCTTTTTGCCACAATGTCGTGGCTGCAAAAATTTTGAGGCACTTACCAGATGGAGCTGAAATAGAAGTGTTATGTTTGGAGTATCATTATTCTTTGCATGGTTGGGGATGAAAACTAGGGTTTGGGCTGAATGGGAGTTGATCGATCCTCAAGGGTTTCTTTATCTTTTTGTTACATGAATTTTTCTTTTTCTTTTTTATTTTTATTTTTATTTCAAGTTTTTCCTTATTTCTTTTGTAATTTTTCGGAGTATTTGGGGAAGGGGGTGGGGTTGCTGAAGGTGCAGTTATTAGGGGTGTCAGTTTATTTGGCTCAACTGGTTGCAGTTATTTTTACTGTTTAGTTGAAAGCTGTGAATAGGTGGTTGAGATACATATTTATGTTTAATCTTTTTTCATTTTTTTATTATTGCTAGTAGAAGGCATAAAAAGAGAAAAAAATGCAGTGTTCTTGATATATGAATTGGGAGTCCTTATAGGTATCTGGTTATGTACGTGTTTTGTTTATATATGCATTGATATGGACAGATTATTTATGTTTGTTACAGGGAAAAACAATTAATAGAAAAAAAGAAAAAAGTGATTTGTAATAAAATATATATATATATATGTATGTATGTACATGTTTCTTGGGTCTATAATATGCACTCTTTTGGTCCATTCATTTCTGATTCTCATTTGGTACTAACTTCTAAGAAACTGTTAAAGGTGTTAGATAAAATTGAAAGTTGAAAGTTATAAACTAAGTACTAAAATTTGAATGTTTAAATTTTAAATTGTATTGGTTAATTTTTATATTGAAGGTAAGATGGTGATAGAGGTAATAATCATGGATATGGTGACAATGGCAATGACAAAGGTGGTGGAAGTAGAGGCATAGTGGTTGAAGTGGTGGTAAAGCAATGTAGTGGAGGTTGAAAGGGGGTGGTGATGGTGGCATGGTGGTGGAATGTGGTGATGATTAGGTAATGGTAATGAGTTTATAATAGTGTATGTCGATACTTATATTTAGTATTTATAAATTTAATCAGAATTAATTATAAATTTAGTTAGAATTAATTAAGTTTTATACAACTTTTTTTTTTTTTAAGTTTTAGCTTATACTTTATAAGACACTTCAATTTTTAAGTGTGAAGGTAACAGGTTATAATTGTATTTGTGATGGTGAGGTGGTGGTAATGGTGGTGATAGTGAATGAAAATATATATACATATATATATATATATATTAAAATGTTCACTAAAAAAAAAAAAAGAAAGAATTTTGTAAAAAGGTAATTACTAAAACAAATTTTTTTATTTTATTTTAAAATGTAATGTTTTTTGTTGGATGCCAAACAAAGTCTAAGTAAATTATTCAGTTAAAATTTTCTTATGGTAACTATATTTAGTCCTGTATACTTTTTTGATGTACTGTTAAGTCCTAAGTAACGTAGGACTTGTCTAGTCGTATTTTAGTTATTTTTTGAATATATATTTGTCGGACTTGTGAGCTCAGCTTGGGCTGAATACCTCCGATTGCAAAGACAGTCTAGTGAAGGCTAAGCATTACTCGTATTAGGCCTATCCCACCCGACTTGCACCCATAGGACGTCTGTTTGGGGAGTTAGTGAGGGGATTGAGATTGGTAGTGAGGTGAGACTCACTAATATTGTGTTTGTTTTGAGAGATGGGAAAGGGATTGATAGTGAGCTCCGGATTAGGATCCCTAAGGGGATTCAGATGGGCCTCTAGGACTTGGTATTAGAAAAATAGTTCGGCGGACTAGAAATTTTTTATTTTTATTTATTTTTTATTTTATTTTTTACGTGTCGGGCATTTTTTTTTGAACAGTAATGTTTAATTTTTTGTATTTTTTGTTAATTAAAAATCTTTATTTTATTTGTTTTATTTTTTTTGGAAATTTTTTATTTTATTTTAATTTTTTTAAATTTTTTTACATGTTGGGCATTTTTTTTTTAAACATTAATGTTTAATGTTTTTGTATTTTTTTTATTTGTTTTATTATTTTATATAAAAATAATTTAATAATTCCTACACTAACAACTATCATCAAAACAAACACAATTTTACTTAATCCCCTTACTATTAATCCCCTTACTATCAATCCCCTCTATTTTACCTCTAAAAACAAACGGGGTCATACTTACCATCTATGAGATAGATTACAATAAGTGAAAAATAAAGCAAAATTGGGCTTTCATAAATGATCAAAATAGAAACATAAAATTGTGTTTGACTAATTATTGCATTATGCAAATTAAATAGTCCATTTTTTAGTGAAAAAAATGTTCAAAAATAAAATACAAAAAGAATTGTGAAAGAAGAAATTATTTTCTTTTATACATATGGTTAAGATGAAATGTTTGAAAGAGAGTTGAAAGAAATTAGTGTGTGAGATCTTCAACGAGAAAAAATATCTTGTATATATTTTTATAAAAAACTAACAATTAAGTTGTCAAACTTATGTTTTGTTTGTCTGAATGAAAAAAAAATATTATTTGTATTTTTTAACATTTGGTATAACAAAAAATAAAAATTATCAAAAAATATTTTATAATCAATGAAAAATAAATTTATTTAGACAATGATTTTCACTTTTGAAAACGAAAAATGTTTTCTAATGCCATCATCATCTCCACACCACCTCCACCACCATCATTACTGTTGCAGCTATCACTGCCGCATTTATGCAAACAGGCCGCATTTATATTAGACAACATGCGCTAACACATAGCATTGATTTTATGTTGAGGGACATTGAAAACAAAAAAACAAATGTGACAAAGGTAATGGATGATGCAAGAACAATTACACGTTTTATTTACAACTCTACTTCATTAGATTTTTTATTATACAAAAAATTTACTAGAGATAGAGAGTTATTACATCCTATCCTGCCATTAAATTCAAGTTATCACGCTAATAAGAATTGTACAATAAATTTAATTTTTTTGCAATTTTTACCAGTTTCATGTTAAATACAAACTATTTTCAATCTCTTTCACCCTAAATAAATTTGTGAAATTTAAAAGGTATTATAGAATGCAGAGAGAGGGGGAAAATTATTCAATAATCTTTGAATACCACGTGTTTGTATTCTTTAATCAATCATCATTTAATATATCCCTCATGTTCTCCAATCACTCAATATAATATTTCACCTACTTATGTTCTCCACCAATCATAATACTATAGAATACCATGTGTTCATAATCCGGAATTACTGAATAATTATGCAAGAGAGGGAGGAAACCATGGTTATAAACACAAGATGGTGTAACTATAACCAAATTTGATTCTTTTATTGAATTAAAAACACATGGGCTTACATTCAAAGAAATGAGGAAAGAGAATAGATCCACAAAACAAACAAAACAAATATGGGAAAATCTTTAAAACTCAACGATCTTTTGAAGCCTCTCTTCCCTTTCTTCTTCATTATCATCATCTTTCCATTTGTAAGCTTAGTGCATGTAGAAGGCAAAGAAGGACACAATTGAGGCTCCGATGAGAGAACCGACAACGGGCAAGGCAGCGGTTGCGTCGCTGGTTGGTGCAGGAGCCGGAGACTCGGCAGCCAAGGCTGCGCTCATGGAGGCGGCCGCAACAAGGGCTGCGCAAGCGATCTTCTTCATCTCCATGGCGATTAAAAGGCGGGTATGTAAAAAGCTCAAAGAGTGAGAGGAAATAGTTACACGATCCCGCCTGGTGCCTTGTGTTGTGGTGGTGCTAGGTGGTGGTGGAGGTGGCCTTTTATAGGGTTGGTTTGCGCTACATTTGGAAGGTACACAACTAATTCTCCCTCTCTCTCCCTTGTTTGTTAGTGTTATTTTTAGAAAATGCATATGCATTTTTGCATGGTAAGGGGGTGGTTGACTCTATGGGGTGGATAGTTATTGAGAAATTATCCAGTGATTTTAGGACATGATCATGTGATGCCTTGAAGGAATTTTAATTGGTAGAGAGAATCACCTTATTTGGTTTCAATTTTTTTAAAATTAAAATTTTATTTTTTGTGTGCTTTTTTTTTTTAAGTGAAAATTTTAAATATTTTAAGGAAATTTTTTACTTTTTAGATATACCTAGTATAAATATAATTAAAAACTGTAATATTTGTGATTTTTTTTTAAAAAAATTCAGTAAATACCAAAAACACAAAAAACAAATTACTAAAATTCAATACATTTTTGAATTATTGTGTATTTATTGATTTTTAAATTTTTTTAATAAATATTTTACTTTTTAAGTACATTTAGGCTAGGTAAATGTAAAAAGTAAACAATTTACTTAAAATATTAAAAAAATCACTAAAAATAAAAATACAAAAGATAAAATATTTAATTTAAAAAAAATTAAAACTAAACAAGGTGAATGTGACTCACTATTTTATATTAAACACAAAAAACTAATATAAAAAATATTATTTAGTAATTGGTGAGTGGCATAGTCATGGGGTGCCCCAAAGGCAGCGAATAATTTTCTCATAGGCTATAAGAAAAAGTCCATGTATGGACAGACGGGATTTAACTAATTGTTTAGACCGAGTCTTTTGGTGGGTTATCAAAGAGCTCTTATAACATTATTTTTATTTTTATTTTTATTTTTGATTGGGAACTTAATGTATTTTTGTTTTTGATTGGAACAGAATATTTTCAGTTCAATGAATATGGGTGTAACATTCGTATCAAACTGCCAAACCATCTGTTTATTTGCCATTGTTTAAAGTATCTCATTAAAATAATCAAATTTTTGGTTAAATTTTAACAAAAAGTTTATTATTTTATTTTAACTAACCATCTTTTCAAATATATTCGCCAACAAACTCTCTATTTTTTATTTTATTTGTTGAGTCTTGTTTCCCTAATTACATATAGCTAGTAGTTTGATATTCAACTAAAATAACTAATGAAGAATTGAGTTTGATAGGGTGTGTTTGTATGATTTTATGCTATAAAATAATTAAGCGAAAACCCTAATGAGCTAATCATGCTCTTATGAGTTATATTTTTATTTTTAAAGATTAAGACATCATTTATTGCTTGGGTTTATTATACAGAATTAAATGATTCAGGGTAAAAATTCATTTTTTAAAGAAGTTTACTATTTTATATCACTGGGTACTATTTTGTAACATGATTTACTAATTAAAAGGTACAAATCTTTATAATTGTCACTCTAAATATTTAATTTTGCTATTTTTATCATTTCTTTGTCTTACACTCTCTATTTCTTTTTCTTTTTTTCTTTTGTTTTTGTTTTTGTTTTTTTTTTTTTTTTTTTTTGGCATCTTTGTGTAATTTCATCATGTTCATTATTAATAGTGTGTGATCACATTTTTTTTTTTGAGTCAAAGGTAATATTAGTATGTTAGTATAGTTATGTCACAACAAAAAGGTTTTGTCACTGTTCTATCAACTCGAATCTCTGACCTTCTATGATTATCATATTCATAAAATTAAGATAGAAAATAAAAAAAAATAATAAATTAGTAATAAAAAATTTCAACAAAACAAAGAAAAGAAATTGTTAACT